TGAAATTCGAATTGAAGATCGCCCTAAACTGTTAAAATTCGATTAGAAGATCGCCCTAAGCCGTTGAAATTCGATAAGAAGATCGCCCTAATCCGTTGAAATTCGAATTGAAGATCGCCCCAAACTGTTAAAATTCGATTAGAAGATCGCCCTAGGCCGTTGAAATTCAAATTGAAGATCGCCCGACGCTTTGAAATTAAAGGTGAAGTGAAATAAATTCAAACGAAATTTCAATTGTTTAATGAATAATCTCAGTACTGGCAAGAATATGAAATGAATGTCGATTATAGTTTTACGAGAAAGTTAATTTAAAAAAGCGTAGGAAATATAACGTCCAAGTCTCTTAAACGAGCTTGAAGTTAATTCTGTAACAATATAATATGTTAATACAGTATATTGGACTGGAAATACGTACATATAATTCAAATCGTAACTGAAGATGATATTGTTAATTTACAATTATTTATATTAGTATTATGTCGAATATAAATATGAAATATAAATATAAAATGTAAATATAAAATATTAGTACGAAATATAACAATTATGACTGTATTTATAATTGTTTTATGATATATACTAAAATTCCCCGAATAATCGGCGTTCTACTACATAACATACTCCATTGTCTAGAACTTAGTAAATTCAACAATAGTTTAATAAAACCTTTATTTTATTTTACAAAAATCCAACAAGTCTGCGTTTCTATAAGTCTATAAAAATCAGCATTCACACGAACATCCTTCTCATGATGAACGTTGGTTCTTTGTGATAAATCTCAGGATCGTTTGCCTTTTCTTGTGTTTTTTCTTTTTTATGAATGGGGGGAGAGAGAGTCGTTTCAGCGTGAATCGTTACTTGTACTACTCCTCGCGGTGAGGACAACGACCCAAAGCGGCGTGACCTTGGGCGAACACGAACGACCTTGAGCGCGAAAAAGTATTCAGAGTAAGAATGAACGTGTTACAGGCAGACGGTTGAAATAACTGGAATACAAGGGGTGATTCTGTTCACGGGAAAGCTGCAATGGGGAATTGTCGGTTGAGAGAATTTATTGCGTGACTCGTACATGAAATATAAAATTGTAAAAGTTAGGTTAGGAGACAGAATTTTGTTATAATACTCTCACATAATAGGATGTCTGCATAAACTTTTGTCGTTTTATGATGAAGTGAAATATTTTGGATAAAATATATAGCTGGCTCATTGCACTTTTTTGATAATTTATTTCTTAATTCAAGTGTAGATATATTCTTTGTAACATAGCTTTACTTATAAGTGAGACATAATGAGGTGTTTAGTAAATCTTAATTTTCTATAAAGTTCTTAATTTTAATATTTTCAACTTATTCATGTTTACATACTTTAATATTAAACATATGTATTAAATAAATTATTGTTTAAGATTTCTGTGTTTGTATATTTCAAGTTAAATTTTTAAAAAATAGTGTCTATGACACTAAGGACTTTCTCTGCCTTTTGTTCTGTAGAGGTAATCTGTTTAGATTCTGAGAAGCTTATTCAAAGAAGCTCTACATATTATATAATTCCAGTAGGGACAACAGTCATTCTAATCGTTATTCCTTAGGAAATATACCAGAATACGTAGATCCCTTTAGTGTGTGAACTGCTACAAATTATACCGCATTGATTAACCATTTAATAAATTAATCTGTCTAATCTCCATTTCTCGCCAAATTATATAACAGACAACTGGCAGAACAATACAATAGCCTTCGAGTTCCACCCAACTGCACACTAGTATACTCTCACAATGCCCTTGCCTGGTTACATAATTAAAATTCTCGTTAGGTAAACAATAAAAAAAACAAAAGCACCTTGTTGGTGATGGGTAAAATTTTCACATTATTTCCCGCATTGAATTACCCATAGACAGCTATTTATAGATATACGTGTTTCGGTGCAAATACCTGCCCGAAGCAACGAAGACTTGTTTTCGGTGTCGGCAGTGCCGCGAGGAGGTTATTTCCGAACTTCTCTCCCCGCGTTCTTAGAAGCTCGTTTCGAGCGGCGCTTAAGCGCCAGGCGATTTAACATCGCGGTATCGCCCGAGGCGTTAACCAGTAACCATGCAATGCTGGTATTTCCTCGTCCAACGTTATCTGACCTTTATGAAAATGATTCACAATAATTATGTATTCAGACGTGCATAAAGCGCTTGGTTCTTCGGAAGATTTTCACACGATGCAACCCAGAAACGCCTGTTTTCTCGCGGGTACCACCTTAATCCGCTAAAGAAACCAAAATTGGTTTCCTTTTCGTAAATCTTGCACTTTATTAGCTTGGGATACGATATGTCTGAAGATGAAATTCGAATCGAAGATCGTCCTAAGCCGTTGAAATTCGAATTAAACATTGCTCTAAACCGTTAAAATTCAAATTAAAAATCGCCCTAGACTGTTAAAATTCGAAGTAAAGATTGTTCTAAGCTGTTAAAATTCGAATTGAAGATCCCCCTAAGCCGTTGAAATTCGATTAGAAGATCGCCCTAAGCCGTTGAAATTCGAATTAAAGATCGCCCTAAGCTGTTAAAATTCGAATTGAAGATCCCCCTAAGCCGTTGAAATTCGAATTGAAGATCCCCCTAAGCCGTTGAAATTCGAATTGAAGATCGCCCTAAACCGTTAAAATTCGAAGTAAAGATCGCCCTAAGCTGTTAAAATTCAAATGGAAGATCCCCCTAAGCCGTTGAAATTCGATTAGAAGATCGCCCTAAGCCGTTGAAATTCGAATTAAAGATCGCCCTAAGCTGTTAAAATTCGAATTGAAGATCCCCCTAAGCCGTTGAAATTCGAATTGAAGATCGCCCTAAACCGTTAAAATTCGAATTAAAAATCGCCCTAAACAATTCGTAATGCCTTATAATATTTACCGCATATTCCGATAAGTATCCTAATACTTTTAGGCGGGAATATACATGCGATTTAAAGTATTACAGAATTTTCTGCGGGTTCTGAAGCTTTTGTCGTACCGAATTCTTACTTTATTCAAATGAATTCTTACTTTAGGAGACTCTTAGTGATCCAGAAATTAGGAAGGTAGCACAAACCGAGTGAGAAACGTGTCAATCCAACCTTCTCGATGCTTGCTCGATCCGTGCATGATTTTAGCGCTTTTACGTGGCGTTTAGCAAACTGTCAATTGCTCCGTGGTAATTAAAGTTCTCGTGTTACCACTAAAAAAGTCCGACGTCTTTCGTGCACGGAAAAAGAAGATCGGTTCGTTCGTCACGAGTAGCTAAATATTCCATTTATTTATTCGATCGATCCCCGTTTTCCCCGTTTACGTAACGTTTTATAAGAAAAAATAATTAGTAATAATGCCCAATCATAATAAAAATCATATTAGTATAAAAGTAATAATAATTATAATTAATTGATGATAATAAAAATTCTTTAATCCAATAACAATTGGCTAATTTAATAACGGTTGAGAATGTACAGTTAATGTTATAATTATGAAGAGTCCTGGACCAATGTGAATCGAGAAAAAGTAAAATGAAAGTTACGTCTGACTCAACCTGATATAAACACATTTAAAAAAAATTACTATCAAGAAGTCTCTTGAGGAAAATTATTTACGACATGTAATATACAAGAGTCCAATGAAAAAACAGACAAAGAAGGGTTTGTTGAAGTTTTTACAATTATTTCTCATGGTTAGTAAGGAATTAGTTAATAAATAATTTTCATTTGAAATATCGTTTTCATTTGTTATTTATCATTTAAATGAAGATCTTCCTAATGTTATATGTAAAAATTTATTATACTCGATTAATACATATATCATATATTAACGTGAGATTAGGTATGACATACAACATTGATTATAACACATAAATTACATTACACACGAAACGAAATAAATTTCTTAGATTTCCAAAGCGCCGTATAATCTTTAGTCAAATTTTTTAATGGACCTTCTTGTAGGAAGTCTGGTTGAAAAATTCGAGACTACCCGAAGTGCCGCCTACATTCACGTACAAACAAGAAAATAAACATGATACATACATCCAATAATAAAGAAATGTTTAAATAACTCTTTTAAAAAATATTCTGAAAATCGTATTAAATATAAAAGGAAGTAGCACATCCAGTAGTCGCAATGCAGTTGTTTGATTAATTAAAAAATACCAAAAGTGTGTATCTGTAATTTAGATTTAAAAAATTGTTAACTTGTTATGTCAAGATTAATTAAGAAATTGCCATAAGAAATTGGACTAACAAATACTCTATAAAATATAGTTGTACTTAGTACATATTGCTAATCCCTCATAAAGTTGCAACGGTTTAAGTGATTACAGTCGACACACGTTACTATTATACATTAACAAAAAAGGAGTAGAAAAAAATCGCGAGCGTGGAATGAAATAAGCACGCAGGTAATAACAAGATATGTTTTGTTTTCCACAGGAAACATAGCTGCAACACGTTCACTTTATCTTGTAGCCTTGTTCTACATACCGGCGCATGGAGATTTTGTTTACTCGTTAAAAAATCCGATTTTTTTTACATAATGAAACACTTTCAACTATGGTTCATTGAAAATTTAGAATCATTCCGAAACATAACGCTACTCGATTTGTGTCTCTACGAAAAACGGATAATCTGCTTTTAAATTAATGATTGAAATGTAATGAAAATTTGGTCAAAATTTTATTGCACAACACAGAAATCCTTCGATAATTTTTATAGAGTGATGAATCTTAGAGTTTGTAGACTTAAATGTGTTGAGCCATAAATAACTTCCATTTATACCTCTTAATTTTCCTTCCACTAAGAACAATTGACATTTAACTGTTATCAACCACACGTCCTTCATTATTACTAAATGTAACAATTATTGATATCCTCGAAGTTATACCATCAAATCGGAAAAGTTATTTCTGGCTCGACCCAGGGACGACAATATTGCCTAAAAAATGATAATTTCAGTTAGGGTTCTATGAACCACAATTAATTTCTCTGTGATGCTTCCAGATAAATTTCGTCGAACGTTCCTTGCCGCATTTCTTCCGCCAAGATGAGAGCGAAAAGTGAAAAAACGAAATTGGTCCCGCCGGATGGAGGATGGGGATGGGTCGTCCTATCATCCGCCCTGGTCGTTAACTTCCTCATTCCGGGCACCGTCAAGTCGTTCGGTGTCCTCTTCGTCGAGTTTCTCCACGTCTTCAAAGCGTCCTCCACTGCTGCCTCCTGGATGCCTGCATTATGTTATTTCCTGTACAATTCCTTAGGTAAAAATAATTCGATACGTTCATCATTTCAGATTCCCTTACCATTTATCTTTCACTCTAATGGCAGACTCCATTACAATATATCACTTTGAGGTCCACACACAATATTACTCTCATATGAACATGCAGCATAACACTTGAGTCGACAGGTAGCATTATCTCATGTGGATCCGCGGCATAATACTCTTAAATTTACCTATTATTGTACTCTCATGTGGATACACAGCATAAAACTCTTAGATTTACATATTATTCTAAGCGCATGTAGATACGCAGCATAACACTTAAGTCGACAGGTAGCATTATCTCATGTGCATACGCAGCACAATACCCATAAGTTTACATATTTTTCTACTTTCATGTGGGTATGCAGCATAATACTCTTAGATTCGCCTATTACTCTACTCTCATGTGGATACACACCATAACACTCTCAGATTTCACCTATTACTCTACCCTCATGTGGATACGCAGCATAACACTCTTAGATTCGCCTATTATTCTACTCTCATGTGGATACATAGCATAACACTCTTAGCCACACACATAATTCTATTCATATGTGGATACCCAGCACAACTCTGCACAGCATAAAACCATTAATCGTCTACACCCACAATAAGGTATGGGCGTGTTTAGCTCGATGAGTAATGCAAACTGGCAAAAGCTCATTAAAAATTGAGGATTACACTTGGGGAGTCCCCCCGTTTAAGTCTACGCATAATATTCTCACATGGATACGCAGCATAACACTTTAAGGTCGACGCGTAGAATAAATTACGGTCGAGCTAGCATGAGAATATTGTGCATACATTTAAATATATTTGTAAACATACAAAACTGTAATCCACATTTTTATTATATGAATACTCTCATCTCTCACTATATGTATACAGAAAAAATGATAAAACCATGTTTTCCAGGTCCCTTATCGAGTATCTTGTCCACAAGATACTCCTACAAAACAGTGACAATCATCGGTGGTGCGTTCGCGGCTTGCGGAATGATGTCAAGTTACTTTGCGAACTCGGTTTCCTACTTATACATTAGGTACGGTTTTAGAATTAATCGGGTATTTTTTATGAATGACATTCGTCGTAATCTAGAAATCTAGAAGAAAGTTAGGATTCTTATAGAATCTATCGAAAATTTTTCCACTAGATTGTAGGGTGTTCCAATTAACGCGATCAACAAAAAAATACCTCTATTGTTTCTGCGAAGTGATTTCCTAATTATATTCAAATACAACACATTAATTAATAAAGGAATTGCATCGAGGAAAATTCTATTGTTAAGGTGGGTTTTCATATTTAAAAGGGAAGTTTTCAGAAACGATATATGAAACTTTAAAATGTTTTCAAACACTTTCAGGACTAACTATGTAAATGTATTTAACCTAAATATGCCTTCATGAGGCCACAGAATGCAACAGAAACGTTTTTCACAACTATATTAATTGGGACAGACAATACAGAATGGTTCGCTAGAAACAGGTCATTTTAACATCTTTTAATATCATACTAACATTATAATAGAGTAATGTTACAAAATATAAAATAGAGAATTCCCGCCCTGTAATCCACGGAGAATTTAAAATGAATGAAAGTAAAAAGTTACAACCTAACCCAATATTGTCTATTTTTACTTAACGTAGATTTTTGAAGCATCGATTTAACAGAAAATATTAACATGGCCTCTTTCTGATCAACCACACGGTATATTAAAGAACGAAGAAACGTCCATTGAAGATGAACATTTATTTTGTGAATACAGCTACGGTTTAATGGTTGGCATCGGTGCTGGACTGACGTTCCCGCCGACGGTGTACATTGTAACCGCTTATTTCGAAAAACTTCGAGGATTTGCTAATGGCCTGTGCATCTCTGGTAGCGCAATCGGGACTATCGTTTTGCCACCATTTTTACAGTATCTGCTCGACTGTTTTGGATACAGGTAATTTTATTGATATCGTTATCATTATTGGACTTTCTATAGTTTTTAAATTTTGATGAAAAACGCTACTCCTACACGCAGCGGGATTCCCCCAGTCTTTGTTTTACGTATGGTTTTATAAATATAAACACACAGGTTGCAATAATTATTAATATGAACCAAGTTATAAAATTATTCATTATGCGTTAAATCGTTTCTTGTTCGATTATACTACTTATTCTGAAACACCCTGTATATATTAATTTTGAATGTTCGTATAATAGAAATGTGCACCTAAACTGAAAATTATATTTAACCATACAGTATATATATTTAATCGAAAAAACTTAGTAGGAGAGTTTACATTGTACATATTACAGTAATATACATTAATATCTTGCAATAAATAATAATAATAGTATTAAAATTAACATATTGCATAGTTTCTCTTTTGACAGATTCCTTTTTACGTTTTACTATTGAATTATTAATGTTATTAGTATATTAAATTACTAACATTAATAACCCATATTAAACTAACATTTATAAAATATTTATAGAATATTTCTACAAATATGAAACACTCTTGGGGGTTTGATTCTGTACACTGAAATAATAAAAAAAAATTCATATAAAAACATGTAAATAATGTTTAGAAACATCCTGCATATTTATGGAAATGAAAATTCTATAAAATATTAATTGTAATATCAATGTTATTTAATAATATAATGGTAAAATCGTATCATCTGCCCTTTCAGAGGTGCTGTACTAATAATGGGTGCAATTACACTGAATACATTAGTTTGTGGCTTACTCTACCATCCTGTGGAAGAACATATGATTGCTGTACCAGTGGAAGGAGGAATCGATAATGATGCATTGTCTATAGATGAGCCAGCTCTTGATAAAAAGAAGGAGACAGGTGATTTATCAAAAATTCAACACATTATTCCATAAAACATAAAAAAAAAAATACGGTAATTAAACAATTTCCAATAATGTTTTTATTCTTTTATATAACAGTGTCCAGTATTGACAATGAAACTATGTCGTGCACTAGTAAGAAAGAGAAGGAAGAAGAAAACTGTGAGGATGAAAATCCTGAAATAGTTAGTAATCCCATAGAGAACCAATGTTTAGAACATAAAAGCGAAGATGTACCTGAAGAGAAAAAGAACGAGTTGGAAAAGACAAATACGTTCGATTCGAAAAATAAAAATTTCAACAAAGAAACCGAGAACACCTTGAACTATCAAAATGCAAATCTGTTAAGACGAGGAAGTAATATATCAGAAAGCAACGTGACGGATAGCAAGAATGGAAATACAGAATTGACAAGGTATTCGCAGAATGAGAGCAAAGATGAAAAGGTCCTTGAATTATCGAAGAAAAGTTTAGAAGAATTATCGGAAAAATCGATCTCGAAGACATCGTTGGCCAAGGTAGAGAAACGAAACAAAATACACTTTTTTGACTTGAGTGTACTTAGGGATCCAATTTATTTAGTAATTCTAATTTCGAATTCTACCTCAGCGATTAGCAATACTAATTTTATGATCCTACTGCCTTCTTATGCGATTTCACAAGGCTTTGACAAGAACTCCTCTGCTTTACTGCTGTCAGTGGTCTCTGCTCTTGACTTAGTCGGAAGAATTGGCGGCGCTTCGTTATCGGACATTGATTTCGTACCAAAATATTACTATTTCGTTGGTGGACTTGGCACCAGTGGGCTGGCTTTAGCATTCCTACCAATGGCAACAAGTTACGCGATGCTTTCATTCTTTTGTGCATTGTTCGGATTGTCTTCTGGTATGTACATTGGTATCACAACAGTAATTTTGGCAGACATGCTTGGTACAGAAAAACTTAGCTCGTCGTACGGTATATCACTGTTCGTTAATGGAGTCCTTCAACTTGTCGGACCGCCTACTTGTGGCGCCATATTTGAATCCGTAGGATCATACAAGCCGATTTTCTTGGCGTTTGGTATTATACTCATCCTTGGTACCGCATTATGGGCAGTCGTACCGCTTATAAATAGAAACAACAAAAAGGATATACAATCCGTATAACAATATAATACTGTTAGCATTACGTAGAGAATCTTAAGTATGTTTAAATACTACGAAGTATTTTTAGCTTTTTCAATATTAGTATTACAATTGCCGTCCCAACAAGAATTTATCTAGGAAAACGATTAGTCCATTTTAAGAATTTTATTCTTACTCGTCCAACTATAAATTAATCTTTTTAGTTAAAGGTGTAAAGTAGCACATTTAATGTATGTATAGCGATACGATACCACTGTTGCAAGAATTTATACATAAACACAACAACTACAGTTTCGTGTACGTTAACAGTACGGACTAATCGAAAATCCACTCATTAATATTAGTGGTTTTGATAACACAGGAAGTATCTGAAGAATAACTGGGAAATGAAATAGTTACATTGTTAAATCATAAAAATAAAAAAAAAAAGAAGACTACAATGACACGGTTAAAGATCGCATATTAGTGAAATAATTTTTCAATATTTTAAATAGTGGTTATTGCTTTGAACACATTCCATTTAGTGACTAAAATAGTAATTAAAAATTGCTACAATGTGCAAATGTAAGATTATTTCTCTAGAAGTGAAAAGCCTCAGAAAATGATAAATTATTACGATCTTACATTGTAATATTAATAAATATGTACATACATATTATTTTAAGTTTTAGGAAATTCACTTATTTTTCACATAAAAATACGCAGCCTTCATTAAAGTAATTAACAGCCTTGATAAGCATTTAACTGAAATTTTATATGATCTTTACTGAACAATGACAATGAGTAACTTTAGCGAAAACAATTGACTAATAATTCTTTATTTAAAAACAATTGACGTATAGATACTGATTTAGGATAAGAATAAAAATGAGTTTACTCTGCTGATAGGACTTTTTAAAACTTCAGATTTGTGCCAAAGTTTATTGCGTATAGTGGAATCAGTTTTCAGCAACTTCTTGGTGCTTAAAATCAATGTTGTATTAGTTTCGCGTATGGCTACTGTATGATATGTGTATGCGTGACCGATTTTTTTTTATTATTACGCAGTTCAAAAGTATTTTACGATCACATGTATTAACGAATGCTGGTGTACAATATTTTTAATATTACTGAAAATTTTCGACTAGTAAATGCACTGTATTAATTATGTCAATTGTTACAAGTTAATTTAATATGTTCTGATATAACACAAAACTGCAATGTGACTAAATATTCTTTTGAAGAACAAAATTTAAATAATTCTAAGTTTTACAAAACTAATTTCACTAAAAAAAAAGTAAGTCACAATCCAGAAGTTTTACTCGTAACAGGTTGCATGTATACTGTGTATATCAAAATAATAAATGTATATTTTTATACATTTGATTAGCATTGAAGAGTAGCATAGAGGTGGTGTTTCTGTTAGATAAATCGAATCTCCATCTAAGCCACAAAATTTGTATTATTTCTGGAAATCTGAATGGTATGCACGTTTTTAATTTCTTTCTGTAACACTTGACGAATTGGTAAAGGTCTTACTGATTTCGATTACATGTTATAGAGTAGGCTTAGATGAAAATTTAGGTAAATAAAAGCGAAAGCGTATATTTTTTTCGAATTAGTTATATTATCAAAGATAGTGCATCTTTATATTTTACTTCAACTATTCATTGCGTGAAAGTATTTCCAAGCAATGAAAGTACTGATAATGTAGAACAATGTTATTTTGTATAATACGGATATTGATAGAAAATACACGATAACTAAGATCATTGCACATCATATGTGCATATAAAAAATACTTCACTTGTACAAGATACTCAAGTATTTTTATATACCATAGTTCTATATGTTGCATCTGATAATTCAGTATCATTGTATGTCATAATCTGAATGTTTGCACATATACAACTATATGAAGTCATAAATTTCATTTTAATTAAACTTTAACTTATTTTTTGTATGTATCGATTGATGCGTAATGCGACGACAAAAAGTTATTTTTACTTTGCATCCTGTTATGCAGAATTTTATTCATTCTTTATAACAAACTTTTCATAAGTGATTCTTTAGTAACGTACACAAAGAGAGTTCTTATGTAGAAAATTTTAAGGCATTCTTAAGCGAGTCTTATGACAAATTAGGAAATACACTAATTTTTTATTACTATAGTAAAGAAAAATACTTCTAGCAAAATTAGTGACATATGTTGTTTATATAGATTTCTCTATCACAAAATACATATCGTAGAAATTTGTTACTTATAGTAACCAATGAAATTAATGATCTCTATTTTACTGTAATTGTGTAATCATTTAAATATTTTAGTAGTCAGATATTTAAAGGAATGACTAATTGTCCCTTTAAATTTGTCTACCTAATTTACCCTTAAGTATTCAGTTTTCAATTTTACTTATTCATGAATATTTATATTTCTTTTAATAGACTGTATTCTCATAAGTGAGTTTCGCGATTTTAACGTCGAATCTGTAGGTAAGAGATAAACTTAAGGGAAGATACTTGAAATGCAGAGATCATTCAATTATATTATTTAGTCACTGCGTCTTATTATAAGTAAATACATTTCATTAAAATTTCCTTTCTATATTTTGATACATTTTTTCACTGTGAATATTTGCTCAATTTCATTTTTTATTTCTTTTTACAGTACACTATACATAGTTCTTCTCATGTAAATTCGAATGTATAAATAAAAACATGCGCAAAAACAATCCTGTAAAACTAAAGTCCCCGACAAACTATCCAGAAAACCGTCACTTTGTGATTGTTCTGTTTATTTCAATCGAGTGTTACATTTCACATGAACAAATCGGAATTTACGTAATCAAGCATCACAATGGTATGTAATTTTAAAGTGTATATTTAAAATAAAATGTATATAATTCTTATTATAACTCGTCACATAATTATACTATGTACAGTAGAACAAATTATTTATAAATGTCTTGCTTAACGATTACGGATCATTTTCCTTTTCACAGAGAAATGAATCTGGGGGCGGGGGGGGGTTGACTGACGGTACATTAAGAGAAACGATTGTGCTCTATGTGAACAGTATTGATGTACTTACATTTGCAGAAGGATGAGCAGATTTTACAGTAATTAATTAAACGGTGTTCCTCTTCGAATCGGTCTGAGAACGGAAATACAACTCAAGTGTTGGAATTACTTCCGCAACCGAAAAACGGATATTGTACTTATTAGGAGGTGGTTGTGTCCCTTCGTCCGCTGAACGACACGATAGAACGAATACCTTTTACAGAAGTCTGAAATAATCGAATGAAAAGGAAATCATTTAATCGGCGAATAATTCAATAAGTTTTTCTAGTTACTTTTAAAGAATATAGTATTATAAACTTCTTGACCGGAAAAAAAGTAGTATAATGAAAATAGCAACAGAGAAGATGATCCTGACGGTTACGACATTCAGGATGTTGATGACCAGAACCATGACAATGACGATGATGATAATGAGATGATGAAAACAATTATGATTACAATAAAATTTTTTTACTTGTTAAAATGTTCACTTAAATGTTTTACTTAGATTAAATGTTTTTACTTGTCATTTTCTGATCATTTTAACCAATAAAATTGAAAAATTACTACTATTTAAATTGCAGCATAAAGGATACATCAAGCACTCATGCCTGCAAAAAATCGGGCTAGAAAGAAAGAATCAATTATCCATAAAGAAACTGAAAATACTAAGAACGTTAAACAAGTATATAATTACATTTCTACAATTAAATGTTTCAATGAAATGAAATTAATTATTGAAAATTCGGAAACAGCTTTTTCCATCTGTTGTAAACTTTATATACATAAGTACATACACATTTATATTTAAAATTGTATCAGAGTACGGAGAAAGTTATTTTATTTCACACTTGTTGATTATAAATATTACGAATTAATGTAATGCCTCAAATCAGAAATTAATCTGCTGAAAATATATTCAGCCATATTGATAATACTTAGGATCAGTCAATTTGAAAGCAAGTATTTTTGCGAACAGCTTAAACACTGAAGACAATAAATTACAGTTATTGTTGTATTAAATAAAAAATGAAAAAAGTAATTCATAAGTATAGAAATGTTATTAACCGTTTGCGTACCAGAGGGTTTTGAAAAAACACGATCGAAAAGCGCCAAGGAGTGCGATCGCGCTCCTTCGATTACGTGTCGAAAAAAGCCGAAGAGCTTTTTTATATATACTATAATATTATATATACTATTAATTTATAATAGGTAACAACAAAAAACAAAATGTATTACTTGGATTACTGATAGCGATGCGACGTACATGCGCCTGAAAGGCTGAGCGCGTTTCGACAAATTGTGAGCGCGCCGTCAGTTGTCTGTATCGGCCAAATGCGCTGGCTTTTTACAACACAAAATCTGAAGAGCGCGAAAGTGGCTTGTGGTACGCAAACGGTCAACTTGCAATTTGCTGTAACATTATAACATAAACAAAGTGAATAAGCACACAGTAAATTAATGAAAATTCTTATAAGAATATTTGCAAACGTTTCAGATAAATTATAGATAAAAACAAGAAAGAGAACAAAGATAATAAATAAGTTTGTTATTTCATTATGCGAACAACCATACAGTGATATTTCATAGAATACCTTAAATTGGACATATTAATTTAGCAAAAAATAGATATACGAAGCCACATAAGACATCTCTCAAATTTTTACTGAGTACTCATTACCAATAAGATATGTTTTCTTGCACTCGCATGCAAAATTTTGCTTAAACCACCCTGCGTAAAAGTTCTGCTCATGGTTCACACAAATTCATTCCATATAATTCTCGAATTCTACTCGTAAAATGATCATTATCCTTTGATATGTAACGAACAGGAATGTACATGTAAAAACAGAGTGTCCTTAAACAGACAGAAATACATGTTACATAAATTAGACCAGGTTTCCAAGACATTGGCGTTAAGCTAATGAAATGAAAATGTTAACTTCCGAAAAAATTACTAAAGTCATGGTTAAGAGAGGGCAGCTAAGTGATACATACAATTTCGGTAGTAAAGCTGCAGTTAAAAGCCGAATTAACAAAAGGCTGAAGAATGCCTGAAAGAAGAAAAATATGTACAGATAAAAGGCCTGTTGTGATATCATTGTAAATGTAATTCAAACAGGATCGTCTTATAAATCAGACTGCAAACTCACATCGTAACAGAATACCTACTTTTAGTCAATACTTAAGCAAAGTGAAAGATCATTTTTTTTCTGTATAAAATGATCGAAATCGAAGGATTTGAATAAAAGTAGTGTAAATTCAAAAAATAACAAAGCATTAAGAAGAAATAAAAATGTAGTGTACACATAACACTTCTATATAAAAGATAACAGTTGGGAAAATCTGTAGTACAATATACGGCAGCGACTAAGAAGTACACACTAGAGCCCATCTAGCTGACTTTGTGATATAGACAGATCGCAATATCAGGATAATTGTTAAGATAAGCAACAGTACTACTAAACATTGTAAAGAAGGCAGGTACATTTTTGGTTGGCAACATAAAGTTACCGAGAACAAAATAACAAAATACTATCAGCAGCAATAACAGTGGTAGTACTAATAGTATGGTAATTAATATTGCGGTAGTGACAACGACGATGATGACGATGAGAATGAGGATGTTAAAGATGATTGCGCGTGAAATGAATGTACATATTAATTTCGAAAAACCAAAGTGTAGAAATCTCAGAATCAGTGAAACAATTGGAATAATTTTAACTATGCCCATAACTTGTATATTGACCTTTTTCTTCGAGCCATTGAGAAAGTCCTTATACATTTCCGACCGTAGATACCTCGAGTAACTATCGCTTTTCATCAGGTGATAAACGTGCGCCTAAAATTTAACAATAGCACGGAATATTTTCTTATTATTCGTCTCCCACTGTGTGTTATCATTATCTCTAAGTCATTAGTACATTGAATTCGTTCGGTCTAATATCTTTTAACTCGAATATCTCTTTAACGGAACGTTTTAATGTTAACAAAAAGCTGTTGTTTGAAACTTGTACCGCTGCTACGTCGAAACACCATCGATCGGGTTTCTGCAAATTCTTCTTCGTTATTTCGTAAGACTGAGAGTCAACGTTGATCGGGCAACTGGCGTCTGGGCCCAGGTACTCGTTCCAGATCTCGTTTATTTTAGTTTGAATTTCTTTCTGGGGCAAAGTTTTTAATTCCTGAACAGCATCCCAAAATCTAAGCACGACAATGAAAATTTACTATCCCTAAGTTGAAGAATTGCAATCGAGATTGGCACAGTCGAATCCACCATTTACTTACTTTAAATTTTCACCGCTGAATTCCTTGTCCAGAAACCGTATGAACTGGTCTCTGCCAACAGGGTCCTGTAACAGTTCTTGGAGGCTGAAAGCCCACCTTTTCACTCTTCTTGTCGACACTTCTTTCCTGTTCATACACAAATTCATTATCTCTCCAGTAACAAAAAGGTCGGATAACGTCTAGAAATATACATACGCTAATTTCTCTTGTTCCCACATTTCAGGATTATCGGATATCCATGGATTTGTGAATTCAGGTTGTATAAAAAAAGGATCATACTCTACATACTGTTCAAAATATCCAATGAGACTAAAATAATCGAAGTATATTTTCAAATAAGTTTCGATAAATGGCCAAACTAGAAATTTCTGGTAAGAAATTTTTAATAGCGACATTTAATAATATTCCACTTCACATTTAAATGATATTTACTTACGCCTCTGAAACTTTTGATACTTTTGCGTTCGGTCTGTCTAATATACTATTCAATACTTCAATCTCTTTACGTAATGCTTCCACCGATGGTGGTACATTCGACCCTGATTGCGAAGGAACTCGACCACTAGCTCCTAAATGTACATGTTTACTTGATTCTGAAGTTGGCTTGTAACTACGACATGCTTTTTTAATATCTAATTCTGTAGTGTTGACACAACCAGGCTAAAATACATGATAATTATTAAATGAATTTCATTTTACAAATCACTTTCCACTTTAAAATGAAATGGCAAATATAAAATCGTTACCATTGGTCTATATACGTCCCAGAAAGCTCTTTCTTGGCTGTCCAACACTTTGCGCTCTAACTTGTCCCTCTTTTTGTCAACTTTACTTTGCGCCTCTGCTTGCATAAAGATAAATTCCCATTTCCGCGAGAACATCTTCTGCAATTTCGCTAAATTCTCAGCCTCGTAATCTGCTAATTCTAAACGAGTTTTATTCTGCATCGTTCTCTTGCATAAATAAACAGCTGAAAATATTTAAACTTTCAAAGTTATTTTTGAAAAGAAAGTTGTTTCTTTTCCGTGAGCACTTGTAACGAAAATTATCATACCATAATCCGTGTTCTCTGGTTCCCAACAATTTGATGGCCAAAAATACGGTGTTTGAAACCTGTAAAACGTATTATCGTTTCTTACGGTAAGGCAGTGGTCGTCAATAGGGAAAAAATATCCATGGGATGCCATAAGATGTGCCACATGAAGAGCCTCTAGAATATTGTTCACATTATTTATTCGCGTATGCCATAGTTTTCCATGCACTTTCATTTAGCGTCAATAAAACAAACAGTGACTCCGCAAAATGCTTGGGATAAAATAATTTTTCACTCTCCTAATACTGAAAATGGTATCAAAGTGTCAAACTGTAATCCAATAATTATTGCCCTGTGCATAACAAACAATTTTCCAATAGCAATAATCATTTGACAACTTTTTCAAGAGAATCACTGTATCTGTCCTACTGATAATACATTTTTAACATTTTGAGTATACCTTGATCATCTATAATCATAGTCTTCATCATCCATGATATTAAATCTGTGCCTAAAGTAACAACTTTATAGTTTTAATAACATAGTACAAATGACAAAATTATATGAAATCAGTTCATTTCAGTGTTATACCTGTAAAAACTGAAGGCGTTTTTGTCATAAAGCTCTTCACTGTTTTTACTGGGACGCCTGTTACTTCGTCTGACATTTTCTCTACGATAGCTTCCATCTATGATATACAGACAAACGAGAATATGTAATGAAATGCATTGAGGTATAGCCTAAATGATGAATAAACAAGCACAGTAGTAAGTTATAACGATTTACTTTCTGGAATACAAGGTAATTGGGTGTATCTTCGGCACACGAGGCAGTGATGTGATATGTAAGACCACTTTGATTTTTGTCGAATGTCTCCCCATTCTGGTTGTTACATTGATTTCTCTGATTATCTCTACGCCTTAGTTGATCAGTTGTTCCTCCAATATCACTGCTTTTGCCTGCTTTTCGGCAACATGCCGATTTTTCAGAATTCATAGTTACCATATCCACCTTAGAAAATTATTCTTACAAGATTTTGTTTTTATCTACTTTTTATGCTGCACAGACAATATAAAATCAATGTCATATTTTCAAGTAACACTGAACAATATGGAAATGTATAAACTACAGACGTTTTGATTTGTTAGAACTTATATAAAAATAACACTAACCCAGAAGAATAAATACAGTAAAGTATTGATCACTAAGCAGTTTGTAATACACATACATAGAAGGTGCCCCACATAACATTATCATCAAGAAGATTTCCTCTATTTTTAGAAAAACAAGGAGATATGTTTTATAAAACTCGTATCCTTTTGATAGAAGCATTATACAATGATAATATCTTTGTTGTAGGTGAAGATATTTAAAAAATCATGCATTATTCATCCTTTTAATTGACATATTTTTTATTACAGTTTGAAATACAGAAAAACTTAGTACCTTCAAGTCATCCATAAATATCAAGTAAAAAATATTGTGATAAGCCTTAAAAATATATACACTGTATCATATAAATTAATTTAAATTATTTCAAATTAAATTAGATATGAACTTATGAACTTTATCAATCGTAGGGCATATTTACGCAAAATTTAAAAATTAAATTTTTATTACAAACTTTAGGAAATATTATCTTTAAAGTATGTGTGTAGACTAATCATAAATCTTGTTCCAAATAGTTCAACATGTGACAGTATACTTACCGAAAAAAAGATTAATTTCCCATTATACGAACAAAAGAAAAATGTCTTGTGTGCATCACATTCATCAGGTTGTAATACCTGATAAACAGATCACTCACTGTACCAAAACCATTCCAAGTTTCTGTTCAGATTTATCTACACAATAATAAAAAACTAGTTAAACAAAATTTAATACCTTATTGTCTGTTTATTAATATTTAAAATTAATACGAAATGTAATATCTAATAATAATATCTAACTGTTTCATCATACGATTCACGATTTCACGTAAATTTCTAACATAATATGCACACTTGCAAACATTAATGCATTTCAATTAGAAAAATGTTCACACGTAAATTATCATAAATGTCAATTATACCTTATAACTGATACTTAAAAGTAACTCAATGTAACGATAAAATAATGAAGTGTAATATTAAATTACCGTTTTTAAGACGAAATTCCGTGTCATAGAAGTGAATGAAACCACTCGTCCATCTCCGTTTTGACAAGTAAATTTTATAACTGATAAAATAATTGCATCCCTTATTATAGGATAATAGATTGTCTAACGCGTTGCTATTGATTACTTTCGGGACTTATTCTTCGATTCGTAACTGAATTTGAGTCAGAAATCTTTGCTTCTTATAAGATGAATCAATATTCCCAAATTGCAAAGTACAAACACTTGATGTTTGCAAATTAATAGTGTACCAAGGATGCGTTGATCTCTGTTTCCGTGACGGGTAACGTAAGTATCGCCGAAAATTTTAATTGTAAACGAAATCGATAACAGGACAAATTATTGTGTTCAACAGTTAAAAGAAAAGATAGTTATATTCGCCAGGTACAATTCGTCCGTACATCTAAAACACGACTGCGCGTACGATTCCCGCGCCACTCTTCATCCTCTGCGCTGCAATATTTTGTGTGACCTCGGCAAACCTCATAAGCACTGTGCAAATGCTGTTCCAAATTTTGTTTTGTAACACTGGTTGCTTGAATAATTGACATTTAATTTATAATGGTTGATTTAATAAGCTTTTTAGAACCAACAAATAATAGTTATATAGGAACTTGATAAATGAAATTTTCATCCACAATAGCAAGTTATTGTCCGGCCAAGCAACTGACAGTTGACGGAGGAGTTACTACGCCAAGGTGAAGGACTAAAGACGATCGTGGGCAAATTTTGGCTGCTTAAACCCTACATATGATTAGTATAAAATGCTCATTCTGTATTTGGCGGATTGACCTGTTGTTTAGTGACCGCCAATGGTCTTGACAGTAGTGATAAGTAATCAAGTTGTTAAAACATGTTTGTACTACGAAAGACAGTCCAAACGGGGTTTGGTCGTGGCTAGGCAACCAAATTAAAGTTCGCACTTTGCAAACGGTTGAAACATTTGAATCGAAGTTACAGACAAGGTATAAGAATAGATCTACATATATAGATATAAATCTAACATCTGTAAACTCGGCTTCCGCTGGGGGACACAGTAACGTAGGGGAAGAACCTCCTACCACTTGGTATCGGGAATTACTGAAATTTATGCCAAATTAACATTCGATTTAACATTTATTTCAGTACTTGGAATAAATTTACCAAGTGGTAAAGCTGGTAAAGGCCCTTTCCTGTCTTTTCCCTACGCCATTTTTTTCCCTAGCGGAAGCCGTTTGCACGACAATGCTTCATGTTACCAGAAAGGTAATTCTCTGATTTTACATTTGCATCCATAGTGATTTTCACTTATTACTAGAAGTAATTTTCGGTGTCGATCTGTGTAAGCAATGAAGGTAAAGTTCGTAAAGTTGGACAAACTTTAGTTCAGGTTACAGATATATTGTTATCGATTGTTATATAAATATTCAGAATTATTATCGTTTGTTTATGTAAAACTGTATTATCACCGTTTGATAAAAGATGTTACGCTTGATTCCAAATAAAATTCTGTCACAGGTACGCTTGAGAATTATTTGTCGTAATAGAAAAAACTTTTTCGTTATTTCTTCTTTGTACTCAGTTTTATTACTTCGAAAATAATAATTTCAGAGAGGAAACTTGTTACTGTTACGAACTTTATGCATAAAAGCAAAGTCAACAAAAACGCGCAAGCAATCGGCTACAGATGGAAATGTTCCAGGGCTCAGTGACAGATGCCTTAAAGTCCCGAAAGCACGTAAGACATGAACATTTTTACTATTTTATAATTGTTTAATATGCAAATATAGCTAATCTATAATATTTCGAATTCATTACATATTATTTTTACAAAAGAAAAAATCATTTCAATGTTTAGAAGGAGAGTTTCTTTGAATCATCAAGTTAATAATACGTGATTGTTTATGTTTTTAGGTTTGATATAATTATTTATTTATGTTCAAATTTAATAGTACCTTTTGCATATTATATTGCACTGCCAATGTTTAGTTTCAATTAAGAATCCTTTATTAAATGCTTAACTTATTTTCATTGATTATGCATAATTTTGAACAGTTTAATTCTACAGCTGTAGGTCCAGGTGCATCTAAGGATAAAGAATACAAAAATCCAGAATATTTTTGTTATACCATAGACAGCTTTGGGGAAGCAGAAGTTGAACTAGAAAAATATAGATTACCAGCACCTTCTAACAAAGTATCCGCTAAACAATAAATAATATTAATTACGTATTTTTTAGTTCATGATTATGTAATAAATAATATAATGAATAGAATAAATTATATTCAAAATAAAAAATATTGAAACTCTCACTTTTTGATTATAATAAGCAACAATTGATTATTACTTAGATGTTTTGAGGACTTTGTAGTATTATTGAAATGATTCATATTTAAGTGATATGTGCATTACCATTAAACATTTAAAATTCTGATAAATTAAATGAAAATTCTGTTTCTTTCATAGAAACAGAAATCTATTAATTTTTATGTTCACAAATAAAATAGGAAAAATGTAAGAACGAGCAAAGCATTTAGAATTTCCTTTAAGTATATTTTTTGTCAAAAATAGGCTGTCAGTTGTCAGTGATAATTTTAAAAACTTTTGATATTTATATTTTATCTATTCTACTATGTAACATAAGGTGAAACATATAATCATGAATACTTTAAAGAAGAGCAAAGATAACTGTTATTTCTCTATACCGTTATATGTATTTAACTAATTCTTCATGGATATAGCCTTAATAAATATTATATATAGGTACCATTGCTATAGCTGCTTTCATAAAAGCACGTCGCGTAAATTGGCAATGGGAGAATTAAACAAATAAATAAATATCATTGCTATATACATATTCACTGTACCGACGTGAATATGCATATAAGAAATCCAATTCAACAGAAACAGAAACAGTTGTGCGGTATAAATTTGAACCTCTTAACATGTTTAAATAAATAAATATTTATTGTATATATTGTGTAGACTGTCACGTGCTCAGCAGCGGTATGAAATTATATAAAAACATGAGTCCCGTTCAGTGATGCCAGAATCGTGGGATTTTCGCGCGAGTGCATACCCTCTCCATGCCTCCCGTGGGTATTTTACACAAGCATATTCTAGCCTGTCCGTGAGAGCTCTGCCCCCACTACGGCCTACTCGGCGACTCACCAACACAAGCGTTTTGTACCTCTGTCCGTCTGCGCTCTGCTTCGGGTGTCTCGGCAAAAGATACGTCACGCGTTTACGACGCGACGGCCGAGTGACCCAAGCAAGGTCAAAATCCCATATCCCAAGTCCCAAGCAATCTAAACGCCGAGAGTCGAGAGCAGCATGAATTCTCTAACGCCCTCATGACGAGGACCCAGTCCATAACTCCGTTCAAATCCCGATGCGACGGTTTTACATTTTATTTTTAATTATTGTGTAATTTTAGTTTGTAATTTGCCAGTAAAATAAAAGGTTCAAAAATATTAATTTAAGAAGCATTTTACAAAAATGGGAGATGTATTTATTACTCTTTAATATTTAAATTTTATATTACACAAATACATATTCTCTTATATA